TGCTCAGCAACAACCCAGGGCACGGGGAATGCTCAGCAACAACCCAGGGCATGGGGAGTCAGGGCTCTCCTTGGCTCCCCTGGGCTGTCTGGGGTTGCTCTGCTCCTGGTTCCTCACCTGCAGGACCCCCTCCAGGTGCTCCAGAGACCTGGACTTGGGCTCAACCTCCACAAAGATGCTCAGGGCAGGAGAGGGTGAGGTGGATCAGCATCACAGGGCTGTGCAGGGGGATCCGAGCTGCCCACTGTCCCTGTGGGGCCTTGTGGGACAGGGCACAGTGTCCCAGGGCCCAGATTTGGGGGAACAGGGATTTTGGGGGGGCTTTTGCACTGCTCCATTGTGGGTGTGATGTGATGAGGAGCCCAGCAGCCAGGGGAGACAGGAGCCTTCAAATGTTTATATCCATTCTGACTGTGCCAGTGCTGAGAGCTGGGATCCTCCTTGCCTGGGCGCCGGAGTTTGGGGCACCCCGGGGAGATGGGAAATTCCTCATGGATCAAAGCTGGTGGCACAAGCAGGACAGAGCTGGAGCTGGTGGCTGCCCAGCTCTCTGCATCCCTGCTCCTCTCTGGATGGGGGAAAGCAGCTGGGGAGGAAGGCAAACCACGTCTCCAAGCACGGAGCTGGGCTGGTTCTGGCTCTGCAAAAATCCCAGCAGGGATTCTGGGGGCTCCTGGGGACGAGCTGCTCCCTGTCCTCAGTGATGTGCTGCGATATTCCCAAGTGCTGGGTACATCCAGGGCCACAACATTCCCAAGTGCTGGGTACATCCAGCACCATGACATTCCCAAGTGCTGGGTGCATCCAGGGCCAGCACCATGACATTCCAAGTGCTGGGTGCATCCAGCACCATGACATTCCCAAGTGCTGGGTGCATCCAGCACCATGACATTCCAAGTGCTGGGTACATCCAGCACCATGACATTCCCAAGTGCTGGGTGCATCCAGCACCACCCCCGTGTGCCGGCGGGGGTTGTTCCCCTCAGCTCCCTGCTCCTGTGCCAGCATTCCAGAGGGAGCACTCCAGGTCACCCTGACGCTCCCGCTGCCCGCCCCGCCACAGCCGCCCGGGATTAAGGGATGCGGATTTATCCTCCTCTCCCGCTCCGGGAGCGGGCCCTCGGAGCCTCGGCACGGGTGGGGTGTGCACGGAGCAAACTGGGTCAGGGCACAGGGACCCGCCGGCAGCGCCGCACCCGCGGCCCCGCCGGGTGCCCCCCGCTCCGCCGGGGCCGCGTCCCGCTCCCCCCGCCCCGGGATGTGACCAGGGGGGCGGCCCATGGGGAATTCCCCCCGCCTGCCGCTGCCTGTCCCCGCGCGGGCGGGTGGTACCCGGTGCCCGCTGTGCCCCCCGGCCCCGGGGCTGCCCCCGCGGGACATGAGGGCTCGCCATGGACTCGGGAAGCAAAGCCAAAGGCGCCCACCCGCCCAATGGGATTAACCCCAGCATGTACCAGGTAAGGGGGGCACCCCCAGGGCGGGTCCCTTCCCCGGGACACCGTGTGGGGCCGTCCCCCGGGTCTGCCTCTTCCTCCTTTGTGAGCCCTTTTGCCCGGGAGCTTCCTGCGATGTGTCAGACCCCGCTGGGACGGGATCCAAGCGGGATTGCTGGGAGAAACCTTTCTTTGGGGGCAGGGTTGGCCTCCCACGGGGCTGACATCCCCAGAGGGCCGGGTTGGAGCTGCTCGGAGGATGCACTGCCCGGGAGGCTGGCAGGGAGGGAGGCTCGGGATGTGGCACTCGGCATCCTCTCAGGGAAGAGTGGCAGCTGGAGGCTGCTGTGCCGGCACGGGATCTAAAGGGATGGGCAGGGAATGGGTGTCTGGGGCAGATCCACGCGTGGGATGTGCTTGTCCAGGGCAAACCCCTGCGTGGGGCAGGCAGGGCATGTGTGTCTGCTGCAGATCCGTGTTTGGGGCAGGCAGGGAATGTGCCTGTGCGTGGGACAGGCAGGGAATGTGCCTGTGCGTGGGACAGGCAGGGATGTGTCTGTCCATGGTACAGGCAGGGATGTGCTCATCCATGGGCAGGCAGGGATGTGCTCATCCATGGTACAGGCAGGGATGTGTGTGTCCATGGGGCAGGCAGGGATGTGCCTGTCCATGGGACAGGCAGGGATGTGCTCATCCATGGTACAGGCAGGGATGTGTCTGTCTATGGGGCAGGCAGGGATGTGTCTGTCCGTGGGCAGGCAAGGATGTGCTCATCCGTGGGACAGGCAGGGATGTGTGTGTCCATGGGACAGGCAGGGATGTGCTCATCCATGGGCAGGCAGGGGATGCTCCAGGGATGCTCCAGGATGCTCCTGCCTGTGGCTCCCATTCCCCCGTAGCCAAAGCCATCCCCACCCCCAGCCCATGGGGGCATCCCTCAGCCCCCAAAAGGCAGAACTGCAGGGCGATTTCCCGGGGAGCCTAAGCTGCCTTAATGCTTCTTACATGATTTATTTATTCATGTGGGAGTGCTGAACGTGCCTTAATCGCCCTGGAAGCTCCCGGCTCCAATCCTGCCGCCCTCCCCAGTTCCCAGGGAGCGTGTGGCCACTGATCGAGCCCTGAGTGGGGTCTGGGTGCTCTCACAGCCCCCCCAGAGCCCTGGCACAGGTGCCAGCTCCCTCCTGCCCGGCCACCCAGCTCCTGGGTGTGGGTGGACCCGGGGATGTGACATCCAGGTGTATCCAGGTGTGTTCCCAGGGCGGGGTCCCGTGTGGGATGGAACTCCTCCCTCCCCTGGGCTGTCTGGGGGGTTTGGCAGGAGTCCCTGTCCCCAGCGGTGTCAGGGGGAGAACAGGCTCCCAAATTCCACAGGGCTGCTGTGCTGAGGGCACCGATGGCTGTGGAAACCTCCCACGGTTCATCCATCCGGGGAGCTGAGAACTGACCTTTTTGGATAGACCCCATAAGACTCCCTGAGCTCCATGGAGGTCCCTCAGGAGCTGGGGAGGGTCCTGGCACCAAACAACCGCCCCAAATGCTTCCCTTTAACTTAAAAAGATATTTAGGGTTAACTAGTGAAGAACAGCATGAACACAGGAACCTCAGCAGCCCTGGGTGGGGGGAAAACACCCACGGGGTGAGACCCTTAAGGTGTCTCCAGATTTTGGGGAGTTATGGAGGGATCTGGCAGCTGTTGGACCGTGGGTCATGCTCCCACAATACCAGGCCCCTGCTTGCTCTGTGAGGGTGGAAATACTCCTCCTGACCACGTGCTGAGAAGGGAGGACACCAGTTCCCGTGGACGGTCTCTCAGAGCCCCAGAGCTGTAGCCAGGAGGTGCAGGACGTGCTCAGTGCTGGGGGTGGGTGATGGTGGGAGCCCTGGGTTTACCCGGCGGGATTTAATCTCTGTAATCCCCTGCTGCACATCCTGGGGTTGTGTTCATCCCCCGGGCTCCGGTTTGGGGCCTTCTCATCATCCTGCACCCCTCCTGGGGCACAGGGGCCATGGGGGTGCCAGCCCCCAGCAGGGACAGGCCAAGGCTGGGGCTCCATCCCTGCGTTGTGCCGAGTCAGCAGCTCTGGATTCCTGGCACACCCTTCCCACACATCCACGCCAGGGCCCCTCAGGAGCAATCACTCCAATTAGGGGCTTTAAATTGCCATTAATCCTGCAGCTGGAGCCGGTGTGTCCCCGGGCTGGGTGTGTTGGAGCAGCAGCAGCCTTGCTCCTGCCACAAATTCCGGGAGAATTCCTCTCGTGGTGGTGCATCCCTGGCTGTGCTGCCCATGGCAGTGGGAAAGGCAGGAGGTGGCCCTGGGCTGGGGGGCTTTTGTATTTCTCTTCTCCCCCTGAGCTTCTTAAACCCCTCCTTGCTTTCCCAGCCATCTGCATGGGGTTGGTTCCTGGCTGCCTTCCAGCTCTTCCCTGTGCCTTCCCCGCTGGTGCAACCCCAAACCCCCAACATTCCTGGTGCTCACCGAAGATTCCAGCCCCGATCCACAGCATCCCTCTGGGTCTCCCTCCCTGCTCTGAGGTCTCCACCTGCTCCCCCTCCCCCTGGGCCTTGGGGCCGAGCCCAGCCCATTGTGCTGAGGGTGCTTTGGTTTTAATCCCAATTAGCTGCTTCCTGGGCCACTGTGTTTCCCACTGGGCTCCCGAGGGCTCCCGGGGCTGTGTCTCCTCATCCCTCCTCTGACTGAAGATCAGGCACCTCTCCTTCACTTTCTAATCTGGTTATAGGTGTCCCTACTTAGTCCAGGAGCTGATCTGAGCCAGGGGCAGGCCTGGGAGGCTCCTGGCCGTGGCCAGGGCTGAGGGAAATCATCTGGATCTTCTTTATCCGCACTTTGCTGGGATGTAGGACACTGGCACGCCGTGGGTGGGGGTGCAGGCTGCTCTCCACAGTGTGACACTGCAGCCAGGAGCTGGGGACAGCTGCTCACGGTCCCCAAACTGTCCCGGTGGCCCGGAGTGAGGTGGCAGTGCCGGCACCTGGCACAGCCCGGGCTGGGGGAGGTGGGTCCACGCGGGTGCTGGAGTGATTTATCCCTATTTTTCCTTCCCAAGGCATCCAAACAAGGCCCGTGTACTCGGCTCACCCTCCCTGCCGGCCTGGCTCGCCTCGGGGCCGTTGCTATTTTTGGTGTAAACGTTCCTTTTTGCGGCCTTTCCCCGGGGGACGACGCTCGTCCAGGGGTCCTTTATTTGCCGTGGGATGCCGGGACACGGAGCGCGGGATGCAGGCGGCCATTCCCGGCGGGATGGAGGGCTCGGGGAGGAGCAGCCCGAGGGGATGGGATGGGATGGGATGGGATGGGATGGGATGGGATGGGATGGGATGGGATGGGCAGGGAGCGGAGCCGCTCCGTGTCTGACCCGCTGACCGGGTATTGCCGGGCCGGCCGCGGGGGGGGCTGCCCGTCTCTCTCCGGAGGATTTTCTCCCGTTTAATCCCCTCTTTCGGGATGAAAGGCTGATTGTGGGCACAATCTGTGCAGCCTCCCCACCCCAGCGCGGGGCTAGGAGAGCTGGGTCCTGGAGATCCCGGTCCCCTTCCCCCGCTGCCTCCCATCCGTCCCGCGCTGCCTCGGTCGCTCCAGTGGGAAGAGCATCCATGGCCACAGTCTCTGTTTTCCCTGCCGGCCACGGGGCAGAGCAGATCCGGGGGCTTTGGATCCGCAAGGCTCCTGCCCCAGTGGTGGAAGAGCCCACAGTGTTTCCCCGCCTGCTGAACGACATTCCCGGGGCCACCACGGCTGCCGGGATGCTCTTCCCGAGCTCCTTAAGCCTCGCTGCCCGTGTCTCGGCACGTTGAGGGGCCGGGGGAGTGACACATCCCTGAATCTGAAGCAGCCCGGCGGTGCACGGGCTCCCCGCGCTGCTGCTTCCTGCTCGCCGGCATTCCCAGCCCGGATTTAATCCGCAGGGATGCTCAGGAGCTGCTCGCAGCGATTGCATAACCCACGGAACACACACGGGGGGGGGTGAGGCTGGGCTGCGCAGGGCTGGGATCCCACCGGGCCGGGATCCCCCTGGCTGGGAGAGCTGGGATCCCACTGAGCTGGGAGAGCCGGGATCCCACCAAGCCGGGATCCCCCCCGCTGGGAGAGCTGGGCTCTGGGAAGGGCTGGGCTGGCACAGCGGGTTCTCGGGGCAGCTGCGTCTGCAGTGGGGTCACTGCACGGGGGAGACTGTGGGATGGGCCAGGAGTGAGTGTGGGAGGGGGCCTGGGCACAGCAGAGGCTGGTGATGGAGGTTTGGGGGAGAACTGATGGGGACAGGGGTGACCCCAGAGCTGGAGGGGTCTCTGGGGAAGAGATGAGGACAGGGATGATCCCAGGACTGGGGTGATCCCAGGACAGGGGTGACAGCAGGTCTGGAGTGGTCCCTAGGGAAGGGTTGGGAACAGGGATGAGCCCAGGACTTGGGTGATCGCAGGACTGGAGTGATCCTTGGGGCAGGGATGGAGAAAGAGATGAGTCCAGGGCTGGAGGGTTCTCTGGGGAAGGGATGGGGACAGGGGTGATCCCAGGGGTGATCCCAGGACTGGAGTGATCCCTGTGGAAGGGATGGGGACAGGGATGGTCCTGGGGCTGGAGGGGTCCCTGGGGAAGGCCTGGAGCAGGAGTGGGTCTGGGAAGGAGCCGAGGAACTCAGGCCCTGGGGTGATGCCAGGGTGAGGATGTGAGGGGGCAGCCCCTGGGGCAGGTGAGGGGCAGGAGAGCAGCTGTTCACAGGGACAAGGACTCTTCCCTTCCCCACACTGGGACCTGCTCGAGTCCTGTCCCCCTGTGGGGCCGCAGCTTCCCCAGTGCCACCACCACCCCCAGCAGCCCCAGGCTGCAGAAACCCCTCCAGCAGGGGAGGGTCGGGGTGGGAAGGGAGAGGGAAAATCTCCGGGATGAAAAAGCTCTGGATTTCTTGGAGCTTCAGCTGCTGCAGGAGGTCTCACTTGGAGCTGAGCAGAGCATTTGGTTCAGCCTAAGCCTCAACGTTTTGCTTTGGTTTGAAGGGGTTTTATTTGTTTAACCTGAAAATTGAAGTGATAGAGAATTTCGTGCTGTAAAACCGCTCTCAGCCCCCAGTGGAAATCTGGTTTGTTAATGCTCCATCAAATCCTTCTCAGCTTCTTCTGAAACCCTTTGCCTTTTAAAATTCTTCTCAGCAACACTGTGGAAGTGGTGTAAATTCACGGCTCATTCCCACATTTGCATTTTTCACCCTAAAAAATCCCAGCTGTGAAACGTCTCCTGGTCCTGGCACCGCTCGGGGACGGACGGAGCAGCAGTGGGAGGTGCTCCTGGGCTCCCCCAGCTGCTGGGGGGTCAGTTTTTAAGGGCAAACCAACCCTCCCGCATCCTGGGAACTTCAGGGGGAGTTTCCTTTCCCTTCTAACACAGCCACGAGTGGGATTGGTGTTTCCCAGGAGCCCATCCCGAGGGATGTGCTGGCTGGGCAGCTCTCCTTTGGCATTGCCCTGGGCATGGCTCTTCCTGGCTGTCACCTCCTGGTGACAGGAGCAGGAACTGGTGGCACCTGGCACGTGTCCTGCTGTGTCCCATCCCCCTCCTCTGGGATTTGGGGCCCAGGGCTGCCCTGTGGGAAGCTTGATGGGGCTCCACACGCTGGACTGGGGCAGGTCTTGCTCTTTCCTTTGGAAGGAGATTTTTTGGATGATTCCAGGTCCTGAGGCCGTGGCAGAGGCTGGCTGAGGGCCAGGGGATTGAGACTGGCTGAGGGCCAGGGCATTCATCCTGGCTGGCTTTGTGGGGAGCTTTGGCCTCATGGGAGGCTCCAGGGTGGGTGCTCTGCACCGAGGGGACAGTGGGAGTGGGAACACGCTGGTGGCCTTGGCTGGGAAGCTCTAAATGCCATCGAGCACCTCTGGAGCTGCAGAGCAGTGTCTCCTGTCACTGGACACCAAACCAAATGGGTAAATATCGGGATGCTGCATTTTTTCTTGTGCAAAACCCTTGGAGAGGCCGGGAATGTGGCCTGGGATGTGCTTCCCCACCGACTTCCTGACGCTGCCCTCTCCCTGGTCGGGTTTGGGTGGGAAGTGCCCCGTGCTGGAGGTCCCGGCAGCGGGGTTGGAACCCTGGCCCCATCCCCACCCCTGTGCCCCCATCCCCACCCCTGTGCCCCCATGCCCGTCCCCGTGCCCCTCACACCCCGTGTCCGCAGGAGTTCGCGACGCTGACGCGGGAGCTCAGCGCCTGCCGGGAGCAGCTCCTGGAGCGCGAGGAGGAGATCTCGGAGCTGAAGGCCGAGCGCAACAACACCCGGGTAAGGGCGGGGCCGTCGCTGTCCCGGGGATGTGGGACACCCTCCCCGAGCCCAGTGGTGACCCCCCCCTCACTCTGCCCCCCCTGCAGCTCCTGCTGGAGCACCTGGAGTGCCTGGTGTCCCGGCACGAGCGCTCCCTCCGCATGACCGTGGTCAAGCGCCAGGCACAGTCCCCGTCCGGCGTCTCCAGCGAGGTCGAGGTGCTCAAGGCTCTCAAGTCGCTCTTCGAGCATCACAAGGCGCTGGATGAGAAGGTGAGGAGGTGTCACACTCTGGAGTTTGAGCTGTAAGCTCTGCCCAGAGCGCTTATGTTTTATTTAGGACTTTTTAAAAGCCTCAAATTCGCATCCAGAGGAAGAGTCACACACTCCTCTCTTAAGAGAAGTTCTCTTAATTTAGTGAGGAAAAGAAGGTGTTTTGGTGAAAGGTTTTACAGGAGTTAAAATACAACCAAGGAAAAATGTTTTACTAAGATACCCAGCACAAAGACCCGTTCCACAGAATTGATATGCCAGCTTGAGTAAAACACAGTTCACAGGTTTTAAGTTGCCCACAAGAGAAAGGAAAGATTAAAAGAAGAGAACAGGTTAAAAGGGTAAAGAAAAAGAGAAGAAAGGGAGAAGGAGAAAGAGGAAAGGAAGGTCAGAATTCCGTGTATGTGTCCACTGAGTGACAGTTTTTGCAGGGTATTTATACCCGTGACCAAACAACTTACAAAGTTTTATTTTAAAGGTGCATTCATAGCGAGTTAGTGCACAAACAGCTTAAAAGTGCATCCCTACAGAGTCGGTGCACAACAACTTGCAAAGTTTTGTACTTACTATTAAATAGTCGTTATAATTACACATATATTTTAAGACCAATATGTGACTACTCTTGTATTAAAATATTGATTACTGTTTGCTGAAGCTCTTTTCTTGAGCTTACACCTCATTTTATCGGGAGGGCAGGTCCTTACTGGCCTCTCTTGAGCTCTTCTCTTACCTGGTCACTGGGGGAGTTTTCTGTTTACAAGCAGTTACAATCTGGTATTTATTGAAACCAAACTCGTGGTTACATTTTACAACTTTATACTTGTGCTAAGGGCAGTTAAGTGCTGTAGGCCTGAAGCCTCGAGTCCTTGTTTCACGTGGAGCCCTTCAGGAGAAAGGCCTTGGATACCCCAAAGCTGCCCCTGGGAGCTGGGGGGGCTGCCAAGGGGGTTTGGGGCTGTTGGGGACAGGGAGCTCCCCTGAGCCCCTCGTGGGGGCTGGCACTGGGCACTCCGGGTCAGCCTCTGCACTGTGGCTCTTGTTCCTCCTGGTTCCTTTGCCTCAACCATCTCCTCCCTCTGCCAGGGGATGTCTCCAGGCTGTCCAGGCCACAGATCTCCCAGAGCTGGCCCAGCCTTTCCCTTCCTCCCCCACCACGGGATGATGCTGAGCCCGTGAATCCCCCCGAGCCTGGCAGGGCTGGGGGCTTGCCTGGATTCTGGGCACCCTCCTCGTGGATCAGTAACGGCCTCTGCTGTTGTTTCCCACCCCTGCAGGTCCGGGAACGCCTGAGAGCAGCCCTGGAGCGAGTGGCCACCTTGGAGGAGCAGCTCGTGGACGCCCATCGGCAGGTGAGGGGCACCTGGGCACCCACCCCCGGGCCCTTCCCGGGGCACTGGAGCTGCTCCCCGGGACATTCGTGGTTGAAGTTGCTCAAACACCACCCTCAGTTGGTTGTGCAGATCAGATAGATGGTGTTTGGGCCTTTCTGGTGGGAGGCTTTTGTTCTGAACTGGCTGCTTCCATGAAGGATTGTCTGTGTTTGAGGGAACCTTGCAAAGGTTCTGGAACCCTTTGTCTCCCAGGTGAGGTTCCCCCTGTTCTTTTGGCTGTTTGGGGTTCATTTCACTGACACAAACCAACCTGAGTCTGAATCGTTTCAGGGGACTGAGGGTGACTTGGGATCTCCCTGCTTCAGCAGAGAGACCCAAACCTTGCTTCTCCAAGCCCCTCACCTTGCATTCCCCACCTTTTTCCTTGCTGGAGCCCTGGAATGGGGACCTTGCTGTCCCCACCCTCCAGCCCTTTTCATCCTAGAATCCCAGATTCCCAGAAGGGTTTGGGTGGGAAGGACCTTAAAGCTCATCTCGTTCCACCCCTTGCCATGGGCAGGGACACCTTCCACTATCCCAGGTTGCTCCAAACCTCATCCAGCCTGGCTGTGAACACTTCCAGGGATGGGCTGTTCTTGGAGAGGCATTAACCCTGTTTTCCTTCCTGAAGTTTGTGCCCGGCCACTGCTGCCCAAAGGGAAGAGCCATCCCTCGGCCTGGCCAAGTTCTTCTCCTCTCTCCAGTTCCCAGGATAAGCCTGGTGGTGCTTCCTCAGGCTCCCAGGTCCCTCACCTCGCAGGGATCATTCCCCATCCTCTCTCCCCAGAGCAGGACATGATGTCAGTGTTTGTCCCCTGCTCCTGCCGCACCAGGTTTCAAATCTGTCTGGCTGCCAACCAGTAACGTGAGCTGGGAGCCCTGGGATACAGGGCTCAGATCCCTGAGGACTCCCCAGGAAAACCTCCCTCAGTGCTCACCTTCACAGCCCCTCTGCCTCCCTCTCTCTTGGAATCATGGAACCGTTGAGGTTGGAGAAGACCTCCAAGGCCATCGAGTCCAACCTTTGACCAAACACCCCCATGACACAGAACCATGTCATGAAATGCCACATCCACTTGTTTTTTGGACACTTCCAGGGATGGGGACTCCACCACTGCCCTGGGCAGCTGTGCCAGGGCCTGACCACCTTTTCCAGGAAGAAATTTTTCCCCAATATCCAACCTAAACCTCTCCTGGAGCAACTTGAGGCCATTTCCTCTTGTCCTGTCCCTTGTTCCCTGGGAGCAGAGCCTGACCCCCTCCCTGGCTTCCCCATCCTGTCAGGGAGTTGCAGAGCCAGAAGGTCCCCCCTGAGCCTCCTTTTCTCCAGGCTGAGCCCCCCCAGCTCCCTGAGCAGCTCCTGGTGCTCCAGACCCTTCCCAGATCCCTTCCCTTCCCTGGACACACTCCAGCCCCTCAGTGTCTCTCTTGTTGTGAGGGGCCCAGAGCTACCCCCAGGACTGGAGGTGTGACCCCCCCAGTGCCCTGTCTCTGCAGCCCAGATCCATGGGTTGATCCCTGTTCCCGTGCAGGTGGCAGCTCTCCAGCAAGGAGCCGTGCGGGAGGCTCCGGCGGGAGAGCGGGATGAGCCCAAGGAACCAGCCCCGAAGCTTCCCTGGAAGGTGAGAGCCCCGGGAACCCCTGCTCTGACCACGCTCAGGGAGGACGTAGTTCCTCCAACCCCCCTGTTATGGCTCCAGGGGGGTGCTGAGAACCCATTTTCCCTCTCCCTTGGGCCCTTCCTGGTGGATCCAGCCCATTCCTGAGTGGTGCCAGGATGCTCCCGGGGGCTCTGCTTCCCAGAGCTCACAGAATCCCAGAATGGTTTGGGTGGGAAGGGACCTTGAAGACCATCCCTTTCCAACCCCCTGCCATGGGCAGGGACACCTTCCAGCAGGTGCCCTGGGAAGCCCTCAGCCATCCCCATTCCATCGTGCCTGTGGAAGCCCCATCCCTGGCCAGAGGAGGCTGTTCCCGGGGGATCCCAGAGCCCCGTGTCTCCACTCCCACCCCTCCCCCAGGTCCCTGCAGGGCCACACTGCCCCGTTGTGTGGCTGCAGGCAGTGCCAGAGCCCGGGAGCTGTGGGGCAGCCTGGCATCCCCCTCCCTCTGTGCCGCCCTGCAGCGACTCTCCAACGGCTCCGTGCACCCCGAGGACGAGGCCGGGCGGGTGGTGGAGCTGCAGGAGCTCCTGGAGAAGCAGAACTTCGAGGTGGTGCAGGCCAAGGAGCGCATCTCTGCTCTGGCTGCCAGCGTGGCCGAGCTGGAGGAGGACCTGGGCACTGCCAGGAAGGACCTCATCAAATCTGAGGAGATGAGCAGCAAGTACCAGAGGGACCTGCGAGAGGTGAGCCACTGCCTCCTGCTCTGCCAGGCCTGGGATCAGCAGCAGCCAGGCTGGGAAGGCCCTGGAAGTCCTGCTGCCTGCAGGGCATTGCCCAAAAGAGCCCACTGCCTCTGGGACACTGTCCCCAGGTCCACCAGCAGGACTTCCCTGAGGTGACAGGCAGACCTGGGCCAGTGAGCTGTGTCCTTGCTAGGAGGTTTTCCTGGGATTACTCGACTCCCCCTTTATCTCTGTCCCACTCTCCTGTCCCTCATCCCTGTCCAAGGCAGGCTTTTCCCCGTGTTCTTGGACTCGGGGTGTCCCAGGCTCGCTGGGTGCCCCAGTTATTCCCATACTGGTGGTCACAGATCAGGATGTGACATTCCCCAGGCCCTGGCACAGAAAGAGGACATGGAAGAGAGGATCACCACGCTGGAGAAGCGCTACCTGGCAGCCCAGAGAGAGGCCACCTCCATCCACGACCTCAACGACAAGCTGGAGAACGAGCTGGCCAACAAGGAGTCCCTGCACCGCCAGGTACCGGGGCCGTGCCCGCGGGCTCCCCGTCACCTCGGGGCCCTGGGGGTGGCTCAGGTGGGCAGGCACCCACCCTGGCTGCCCCCCAGTGCGAGGAGAAGGCCCGGCACCTGCAGGAGCTGCTGGAGCTGGCGGAGCAGAAGCTGCAGCAGACGATGCGCAAGGCGGAGACGCTGCCCGAGGTGGAGGCGGAGCTGGCCCAGCGCATCGCCGCCCTCACCAAGGCAAGGGGAGGGGGCACCGCGGGGCAGAGACGGGGGGGAGGGCAGGAACCCGCAGGGATGGAGCCCCTGGCAGCCCAGGGCACCCCATGCTCAGTCCCAGCTGGGGCTTCTCTGTCCTGTGCCGTCCCCGGGGCTGCAGGGACGAGGCACCGTTTTGAAATCCTCCACGGGTGGGGTTTGCTCCCGTCCTTCCCTCAGCCCCTTTCTCCAAGGCAGAGATGGCCCTGCTGAGACCACTGGGACCACTCTGGGAAGAGGAGGAAGAGGAAGGACCAGGCTGGGTGTGGGAGGGTGCAGGCCTGGAGGGGGGGTGGACGTGGCCATCCCTGCCCTTCCTGGGTGCTGGAATGGTGCTCAGTCCCTCTCAGGGCACCTCCAGCTCCTCTCACCGTGCTGGCAGAGCTGGTTTGGGCTCCCAGTGAGTGGGAGAGAGGTGCTGCATCCCAGGAAAGATGTGGATGAGTGGATGGATGGAGGGATGCGGGAGGGCCCTCGTGGTTCTGGGGAGCATCATCCAGAGGGCTGCTCTGCTTTTCCCAGGCAGAAGAGAGGCACGGGAGCATCGAGGAGCATCTCCGGCAGCTGGAGACCCAGCTGGAGGAGAAGAACCAGGAGCTGGCCAGGGTAAGTGCTGCCCCTGCAGTCCTGATCCAGCCTTGGCTGCCCTTCCCTCGGTGTCTGGACACCCGGGCACACCCGGTGCCTCCGGAGCAGGGTGGGGAGAGCAGTCTGGGTGAGCCTTTCCCATCCAGGACCTCTCAAACTGGAGCCACACAGGAGCTCATGGCACTCTCTGCTGTGCCTTTCCCCTCTCTCAGGTGTCCAGGTCTTTCTGCCGACATTCCACACCCACTCCTCTCCCAGCAGCTCCCCCTGGGGCAGGCTGGGACCCCCAGTGCAGGGTGGAAGGGGAGGTTCCAGCTCAGGAGCAGGATCAGCAGGATCCAAAGGGCAGGGAGGCTGGGCTGCTGTGCCAGGGGCTGCACAGTCCCTGCTGTCCTGCTTGGCCAGTGCCTGGGCTGTCCCTGCAGGAGCTGGGATGCCCTTTTCCTGGGCATTATGGATGTGCTCTTGGCAAAGCCCCAGTGGTTTTGTCCCAGGACAGACATTTGCAAATCCAGAAGTCCAGCATCCCTTGGGGTTTGGGATGAGCCCCAGTGTGGTTGTTCCTGGCAGATGCACAGCTGGATCTTTCTTGAGGGTCAGGCAGGCAGGATCTCCTTGAATCCTGTCCTCTCTCCCGTTCATCCCTGGCTGGGAGTGTCAGAAAACCACAACAGTGCTGGAAGGGGTGGATTTGTCCCCAAAAGCTGGGCCTGGTGGGGTAGCTCTTACCCCAGGGCAGGCACAGGATGGCAGGGGGGCACTGAGGCCCTGGGGGCAGGAGGATCAGCCCCTCTGGTCACCGTTTGCTGCCCCAGGCCCGGCAGAGGGAGAAGATGAACGAGGAGCACAACAAGCGGCTGTCGGACACCGTGGACCGGCTGCTGAGCGAGTCCAACGAGCGGCTGCAGCTGCACCTCAAGGAGAGGATGGCGGCCCTGGAGGAGAAGGTACTGCCTGGGGGGCAGGGGGGCCTCTGGGGGGCTGTGGGGTTGTTGAGGGGTCTGCAGCCCCTCTGGTGTGGAGCTTCACCCCGGCCATGGCACGAAGCATCTGTGCAGGGATGGAGAAATGAGCACATGCAGGACTCCAGCCCTGTGGGATCACAGGGAACTGCTCCATGGCTCACCCCAGCCTGGTGAGACCCACTTTCTACTGCCTCCCACCTCCCTCAGCAGCAAGACTTGTCCTGCTCCGTTCCCTCCCTCCCCAGTGTCTCTGCTGTCACGGCCTCAGTGCCCCCCGTGCCCGGCTGTCAGAGCAGATCCCAACTGCATTTTGCAGGAAAAAAATGCAGCATTCATCCTGTCCCACTGCCCACCCCTTCAAACCCTCCTGTCCCCCAAACCCAGGATGATGTGTCCTCTCCAAGCCAGGGCAGTGCCCCTGAGCAGCCTCCCAGCTCCCACCCCGCTCCTGGGAACGGGGTTTTCCTTGGAGCAAAGCAGCTGGAGCTGCTGCTGCCCCAGTGTGAGTTCAATCAGCTGGAGAGCAGCTGGCTCCGGGCAAGGATTCACCTCCCAGTGCCAGTGGGAGGTCAGGCCTTGGTAACTCTGCTCCCTTTGGGTTCCTGCAGGGCCCAGACTCCCCTCAGCTGGGGCACACAGGACTCCATCCCCCCCAGTGCCCCCCGGCCTGGCTCTGTGTCCCCGCTGCTGTCCCCTCCTGTCCCCACCCACGTGTGGCTCTGCCAGTGTGTCCAGTCCTCCAGCAGTGTGTCCAGGGGCTCTGGGTAAAGAGCAGCACCATGGGGATGAGCCCAAACACCACCCCAGCAAGTGACAGGGAGCAGAGGGGTGGCCCCTGCTCCCCAGCCTGGTGCCACCCAGAGAGTTTCTCCAGGTCTTTCACGGAAAAAAAAGTGACCCTGTTTGACTTCCAGCTTTCCTCCCCCCCAAAAAAGAGCACTAGGGCAGGCAGCTGCAAACTCCACAGGGGAGGTTTAGATGAGATATTAGGATAAAAAAACCAATTCACAGGAAGTTTTATAGTGTTGGCACAGGCTGCCCGGGGCAGGGGTGGAGTCACCATCCCTGGGAGGGATCAGCAAACGCAGGGATGTGGCACCTGGGGACAGGGTTTAGGGCTGAACGGTTGGACTCAGATCCCAGAGGGCTTTTCCAACCTTTTCCCAACAATTCTGTGGTTCTGTGGACACACTTGCTCTCTCCCCTGGCTTGGATGCAGGGGACACTTTTTCCCTTGATCCCACTGCCCCAGGGGGAGTTGAGCTCCTCTCACACACAGTTCTAACCCTCCAGCCCTGCCCATCCAACCCCTGGTCTCTGTTGGCCCCCCCTGCCCCGGGGGTGGGGCAGGAGATGGTCCATGGCCACCCTGCTCGAGGGGCAGGATCTGCAGAGGAGACCTGTCCATGGGCATGTGGGTGTTCCTGCAGCTCAGGGAGCCTTTGCCACCCCTGTGCCCAGTGCCCATCCCACGGAGATCCCACTCTGCCTATTCCAAACCGTTTCCTAAACGATCTCTCTTTTTCTTTCCTCTTTTTATTCCCTTTTATTTTCTTTGGCGTTTGTTTTTTTTTTTAAAGAACACATTGTTACAAGAGCTGGAAAACACCCAAAAGCAGATAGAGGAACACCAGCACGACAAGGTAAATGAGGCTGCAGGGAGCCTGCCCCAGTGACTGCATTTCCTCACTCCAAACCCCAGGATAGGGGCGGTGGCTCCTCCCAAAGTGCCCTAGTTTTGGAGGAGCTGGGATCCTGGAATGCCCAGCAGCAGGAGGGCACAAACTCACCCACGCAGTGGCTGGGTGGAAGCTGCCACCCACCTCCCTGGAGACCCCCGGGGCGGGTCCCTGCCAGGCATGTTTGGTCATGTCACTGTGTTTCTGTCACACTCATCCATCCCCAAGGCCTGGGGGGCTCTGCCCATGGATAGAGGAGGGATCAGGCAGCAACATCCCCTTCCCCTTGAGGCTTTCTCAGACTTAGGGGGGATCAGCTCCTCGCCCAGCCTGCAGGAGCCCTGTAGGTCTCACACTCTGAGCTGAAGCATCTCAGTATGACCTGCATGAACCCCCGTTGACCCGTGCTGGAAACCTGGACAGTTGTTGCAGCTTTTGGAAGCTTTTGGCAGCAATGGGAAGCTTTTGGGATGTGCCTCATGTCTCGTGCATGGCTGGGGGGGCTGGGGGTCTGCTCTCCTCCTTGGCCAAGGCCTCACTGTCCCAGATGCTCCAAGGACACTGTCGGGATGTCACCCGCCCTGGCTCAGCCTGTTTGCCCCCCTGACTGGATCCTGCTGGGCAGGAGAATCCCCTCTCCCCTCCCTCCTTCCCTGCCTGCAGCCTCCCCTCTCCCATCTCCCAGTGCAGCTTCCCCCTGGGAATGGGGCTGGCAGCAGGAGGGGCAGGACCAGCAGCAAATCTGGCTTGTTGGTCCCTCCCTGCTGGTCCTTTGCCAAGGGACAAAGTGCAGCGTGGAGCAAAACCAGAGCATCCAACTCTCCTCCATCTCCCAAACCAGCATGGCTTGAGCACACACACTGTGTCTGTCTGTCTGTCCTGTGACCCCTCCCAAGCATCCTCCTCCTCTGTGCCTGCATGAGCTGTTTCTTTACTGTCCAAGATGCTTTAAACCCGGAGTGGGGGGTTTTGAAGGGAATATGAACCTGGAATGGCCCGGGATGTGGATTCCCCCAGCCCTGGCAGCTCCTCAGAGCCAAACCCAACCCCTGCCTGTCCCGTCTCACCCCGAACAGCGGCGACTGTCTGACGAGATCGACAAGCTGAGGCTGGAGGTGGATCAGCTCAAGACCAGGAGTGGGACCTTCGTGGAGAGTGTTCACTCCAGGTAAGAGCCCAGCCCCTGCAGCCCCAGCTCTGGGGGCGTTTTGCTTTAGAGAACCCCCAAGTGCTGTTGGCATCAAGCATCTCTGGTGGCTCTCAGGGCAGGCTCAGCTCCAGCCCTGCAGTGCTGTCCATCCTTGGATCTGCCCTGGATCTAAACACAGACTGTTTAGATCAGCCCAGACCAGTGAATGGCCCAAAATTTGCTCTTCTGAGGGTGAAAAACCACTGGGCATTGTTTCTTTTTCTGCACAAAAGGCTTGGGAGTTAATTTTCCACAGAAGCTGGAAGTTCACCTGTGGTGTGCAGGGGGAGGAAGAGGAATCATTTTTGAGGTGTTGCAGGTCAAAGAGAATGAACTCCTCCATTTTTTCCCCTCTTTCTGCCATGGTCCTCCCACACCCTTTCATTTAAAGTCTCTGGGAGATGGGGACATCCCAGCCCAGAGCTGCTGGAGCAGAGGTGAGTCCGTGGAGTCTCAGCCTCCAGCACTGACTGGGATGCCCAGCAGGAAAACAGGGGGGTGGAAAAGGAGATGACAGCTCAACGTGCACCCCAGGGTGCTGCTGCAGCCACCCAGGAGAGCACACCCTCTCCTGAGCACTCTCAGCATGGGTTCAAGACACCGAGGGGTCAATGGGAGCAAAATTCCCCTCTCAGGAAGGCTGGAAAAGCTGGGAAGGAGCCACTGGGACCAACCTCAAACCTGCCAGCAGAGAGTGCAAGGTCTGGAGGCCCCAGGACTGTTGTGGAGAGAAGAAAAGGGGAGAGTGAGGAAGAGCCTGTGAGGATCAAGGGTGGCTGAGTGCTGGAGGAGAGTCTGGAGCACGTGTGGGACCCCTTTGGGTCTGTGAGAGCAGGGTGGACAATCTGATGGGTTTTTTTTTAATATTTCTTGGAGGAAAAATCAACAGAAATCTGGAGCTGCAGAGTAATCCCCCAGCTGAAAGGTCAGCTTTTGCCTGAGGTGCCTTTGTCTGGTCTTAGCTGGGGAGCAGCTTTGTCAGCAGCTCAAATCCCCCCTGAAACTCGGGCTGTGCCTTCACCTGCACAGCCCAGGCTGGCACAGCCCAGCTGCTCGTGGGGGTGGTTTTGTCTGGGCTCACTGGGGAGCCCAGGCCTGGATCTGTGCTGCAAACCAGGCCCACCATGGTGGGCAAACATGACCTGCCTCGGACACCTGCTTTTGTCACCTGAAATGCAGCTTAAATTCAATAAACCTCGTGGCTCCTGTGGGAATGTGTGCAGGGAAGAACGACCCTGTGCCCCTGGTTGGATGCTCAGGGCAAGGAGGAACAGCCAGGAAATGTGGAGACATGGATGAGTGCTGGGAGTGGCAGAAAGTGTCCTTGTGTCCAGCAGCCTCTGCCGTGCTCTGCCTGGCACAGGAGCTGCTCCCCAGCATGGAGGAGGAGGAGGAGGAGGAGAAGGAAGAAGTTCCAGCTGGTTCCTGCTGGGAGACCCCAGACAGTGCTCATGTCCTCACACCTGGAAGGTGCTTCAAGTGGGATTTTATTCACAGAGTTATGGAATCATTAAGTTTGGAAAAGGCCTCCAAGGTCAAGTCCAACCTTTGTCCAAGTCCCATTCCCACTAAACCATCTCACCAAGTGCCACATCCACTCATTTTTTGAACACTTCCAGGGTGCTGACTCCACCACTGCCCTGGCAGCCTGTGCCAGTGCTTGACCACTCTGTCAGTGAAAAAGATTTTCCTGATACCAACCTGAGCCTCCCCTGGTGCGACTTGAGGCCGTTCCCCCCTGTCCTGTCACTTGTTCCCCCATCAGGGTGTTTTTTCATGAAAATGTTGAAGGAAACAGAGAAAGGAGAGGAGCTCCCTGGCTGGCCCCCGTGGTGCACGTGGGGATGGAGAAGACACAGGTTGTGCTGTGGGTGTTGGGAGGTTTGAGCTGTTCTGGAGGGGGAAAGGCAGGAGGAGCCTGTTCAGCCCCCCCTGCACTGGGGGGTTTTGGGGACAACTGGCTGGATTCCCCCCTGGGGTGCACAGGATGGGGAGGGAGCAGCGTCGGAGGGCCCAGGGCAGAACTTCCTACACCCTGTGGGAAAGGTGGAGTCTCCTGAGGGGAGAATCATCGGGGTCTGCAGCTTCCTCCCAAGGGGCAGCTCCGATCTCTGCTCTGTGTGAGCAGGGACAGCAGCCAGGGAATGGCTGGAGCTGTGTCAGGGCAGGCTCAGGTTGGATCTCAGGCAAAGGTTCTTCCCCCAGAGGGTGGTTGGCACTGCCCAGGCTCCCCAGGGCAGTGGGCACAGCCCCAAGGCTGCCAGAGCTCCAGGAGGGTTTGGACAATGCTCTCAGGGACAGAGTGGGATTGTTGGGGTGTCTGTGCAGGGCCAGGAGTTGGATTGGATGATCCCTGGGGGGCCCTTCCAGCTCAGAATATTTTATGACTCTGTGAGTCTCTGAGCACATCTCCAGGGCCAGTAGGGTGGGAATGGGACACTTTCTCCAGATCCGGGTTTTTGCTGGGATGGGCATCCCGGAATGGCCTCATCCTCCTGCTCTGTCCTGAGCAGCCTGGGCTGCCAGGGGGGCAGCCCGGGCACCCTGGCACAGCGGAGCAGTGCCCACCACAGGGCTCTCTGTCCCCAGGTCCCACATGGGCAGTGCCACAGACCTGCGCTTCCCGCTGGTCCACGCGCCCGCCGAGCCCTTCGGAGCGGCCCCGGGGCTGCCCCGGGCACAGAAGGGTCGGTTCGCTGCCAGGAGGGAGGAGTCAGCCAAGGTAACCCGGCTGGGGCAGGGGTGGGGCTGGGACCTGCTCCTGCCTGGCATCCTGGCATCGTGGGGCTGGGATCTGCTCCTGCCTGGCGTCCCAGTCTCGTGCGTCCTGATTTGGGGGTGTGGGGCAGTTCCCTCTGCCTGGTGCGTGGGTGGGGTAAGGAGGGAGTGCTGGTTTAAAAGGAAAGCAGCGGCAGAAACGAGCCCAACTCGACAGAGATCACAAGTCAGCGTTACAATTTACTAAAACGATTGCAATAAGTGCAATGATACGGAGAAAACTGGTTTTAACCCCCAAAGACAGATGTATAACCCAGCACCCTGGGGCAAGAACAGAGCAGTGTTCCTGGGCCCCTGTGCTGAGCTCCACGTGGCCCCCCCGGGGGCAAAGGAAAAGGAAAGGAAAGCTGTTGGTCAGGATGGTGGTCACAGTTCTGTTGGAGTTCTGGATCCTCCTCTGGATCCACCAGTGGTCCCAGCAGTGCCCAGACCCCAGAGTGGATGTGCTCAGGTTGAGGTGGGAATGCCCAGTGCCTCCCCCAGGGCGGGGAGTGTCCCGAGGGGGGATTGAACTCTGTGAGCCCCGGGATGTTTTTGGAACCTTCGATGGTCTGGGTGGCTGCAGCTGCCCCTTGTGCCAGTCCAAGGTGGCCCATGAGCAGAGATGAGCCCTCGGGCTGGGGGTGAAGGGGCTGATGCCTCCCTGGAGGGGAGTTCCCAGGGCTGAGCCATTGGTGTGAGGACAAAGAAACGCTGCCCTGTCTGCAGGGTTCTGAGAGCCTGAGGTGCCAGGTGTGCCCTGGGCAGCTGTGCAAACAATCCCTTTATTACCAGTCCCTCAGCAATGGCACAGAGGGTGTAGCACACACAGTTTTGGTTATCCCTTTATTACCAGTCCCTCAGCAATGGCACAGAGGGTGTAGCACACACAGGTTTGGTTATCCCACATGGGCGATAAACTGGTCCCTGTGACTGGGACAGAAGGGTTTCCCTTGGGGTCACACTGAGCTGTAACTCCTGCTTGGGGAGGGCTCCAGTCTGGCTTTTCGGGGGTGCCGTGTAGGACCAGTGGCCCTTGTCCCCCCCAGGACTGGGAGCAGGCCCAGGCAGGTGCTGTCCTGGCCACGGGGCCCCACAGCTTCGACAGCGACCCCGACATCTCGGACGTGGACGAGGACGACCGTGAGACGCTCTTCAGCTCCATGGACGTGCTCTCCCCTGGGGGGCACTCGGATGCCCAGACGTTGGCCATGATGCTCCAGGAGCAGCTGGATGCCATCAATGAGGAGATCAGGTAGTGACCTTGGCCAAACCCCACCCCTGCTTTGTGCTGAAGTGGCTCTGGGGGGGAGTCTCTGATGCCCTAAAACTGAGGCCTTGATGCATCTTCAGCCAGAGAAATGGCTCCAGAACATCCAGCCACAGGGCTTGGTCCTTCCTGCCTGTGGCTCCTTGTCCCTCAGCTGCACCACTGCTGGATCACAGGGTTGTTATTTTAAGAAAAGCTCCCTATGAGCATTAAAAGAAGCCACGGTGTGTGTCACCCCTGGTTTCTGGGGATCCCGGTGGATCTTGCTGCCATTCCTGGAGACTGGAGGGGCTTGAGTCACAGCACCAGGGAAGGGGAAAGGATGTCCTGTGGCCGGGAGGGGTGAGATGACCCCCTGAGCCCCCTCCCGCTCCCCCAGGATGATCCAGGAGGAGAAGGAATCCACCGAGCTGCGCGCGGAGGAGCTGGAAACGCGCGTCACGAGCGGCAGCATGGAGGGCCTCAACCTCACCCAGCTCTGCAAGAGGGCCTCCATCCCCACCTCCCTGACCGCCCTGTCCCTGGCCAGCTCGTCCCCCCCCCTGAGCGGCCGCTCCACGCCCAAGCTGAGCTCGCGCAGCGCGGCGCAGGACCTGGACCGCATGGGCATCATGACGCTGGTGAGGGGCCGGGGGCTCTGAGGGGCTGGGCAGGGGGTGTGTGTGACTGTCTGGGGTGGGAGCGATGCCCTGGCACCCTCAGGGCTGTGTGTGGGGGGGGTGGAGGGGGGGTGCCCGTGGTTGTGTCTCCAGCCTGGCACGCCTGGCCCCGGGCCTGCTCTGCTGGGGGGGTTCTCCATTAACTGCCCCCCTTTCTGTGTCTCTCTCGCTTTCCCCCTTGCAATCAGCCCAGCGACTTGAGGAAGCACCGGAGGAAACTGCTAGTGAGTGGCTCCCATCCCGTTGGTTTTTGTCCAAGCCCTTTTTCCAGCCTGCTCCTGGCTCTGCCCACGCCGGGTCAGGGGGCAGCAGGCGCGGGATGGAGCTGGGGCACCCCAGGGATTTGGCAGGAGGATCATGGGGATCCCCAAAGGTGCTTGGACACGTTCCCGCCGGCAGCCTGGGGGGTCTGGCAGGACGTGGGGAGGTTCAGAAAGCCACTGGGTCCTCAAACATTGTGTCCCCTCTGGCGTTTGGGACATTCCCATCTGTGCTCCTCAGAGCCCTCTGCTCAGGGCCAGCAGCTTCTGTCTCCACACCCTGACCTGGACCATGGGGCTGCATCCTCTCACCTCCCTATTCCCAGGATCTCGGCCACGTGGCCACGTCCTCCCCATCCTGGAACCATTGCCAGAGCTCTTGGGCCTCTGGAACCATTGCCAGGGCTCTTAATTCAGGCCAATCCCGGAGCGTGGCGAAGCCTCAGGGCTCTGGTGGCTCTTTTGGCCATGCCTCCATGGAGCAAGAGAGAGGCAGGCAGCAGGGCAAGGATGGAGCTGGGCTCTGGCTGCCCTCCCTCACGGCCTCTCCGCTTGTTCAGTCGCCCGCAGCTCGGGACGAGAGCCGGGAGGACAAAACCACCATCAAGTGCGAGACGTCCCCGCCTTCCTCTCCCAGGGCGTTGAGGCTGGAGAAGCTGGGCCACCCTGCTCTGAGCCAGGAGGACGGGAAGGGGTAAGTGGAGCACCCCTGGGAGATCACCCTGGCACCTGCTCCCTCGGTCTGGGGATGGACACAGGGCATGGGTGGGATTGTGAGGTGGGCTGATTGTGGGTTTGTGCCCTGCTCGGGAATAACCTCCAGGCTTTGCTGTTCCTCTCCCTCCTCCGTCCCCAGCTCGCTGGAGGATCAGGCCAGCAACCCCAGCAGCAGCCAGGACTCCCTGCACAAGGGCTCCAAGAGGAAGGGGATCAAATCCTCCATCGGGCGCTTGTTTGGGAAAAAGGAGAAGGGTCGCTTGATCCAGCTGAGCAGAGAAGGGGCCACAGGGCAGGGTCTGTGACAGCCCCATCCCTGCATGCGGGGCCAGGCCCTGCACCCTCCCGGCCTGCCTGGCCTTGGGGTGCTCCTGGGGGAGGGGTGGAGGGGCAGGGACACCCCTGCTGCTTTGGGAATGTCGGGGGGTTGGAGCCTGGTGCCTTCTCCCCGTGGCCGGAGCGTTGGTGTCACCCTGGTGCTCTGCCAGAGCTGGGGGGTGGGTGGTGACTCCCCATTCCTGTATCTGTGATGTCCCCAAACCTGCTCCCCTCCCCATGGGACCTCGTGGGGTTGGCAGAGCCCTTTGACAGGAGCTGCTTTTCCACTCCCAAATCCTTCCCTGCTCCCACGCTGAGCATTTTGAAACAGGAGAGGTGGCAGGTGGGAATTCCCTTGGGCTTCCCAGGGAGGCAGGGGAGCCTCGTGGTGGGTTGGACATGGAGACTGTCCCTCCTGTGCTGTGACTGTGGGGACAGTGGCAGTGCCCACACTGGCCCTGGGGGATGTCATGCTGACCCTGGGACGTCACACTGACCTGGGGGTGTCTTCCTTCCCCCCACAGTGGTGCTGACTGACCCAGAGGGGAGCATCCAGGACCCCCTGGGCCTGGGCAAGCTGGGTGCTCAGGCTGAGAAGGATCGGCGCCTGAGGAAGAAGTGAGTGAACTTCCTTCCCTACCCCAGCAGGAAAAGGATGGCTGGGGAGCCATGGCATGGATCTGGGAGTTGCTGGGAAGTCCTCTCATCCTTGCCCTCCCTTAGATCCTGTTACCTCCTTCCTTGCTTTGCCTCCAGCTGGTTCTCGCTGCCCGTGGCCTGTTCCCTTTCAGGAGCTGCTCCCTTCCCCCCAAAACCCCCAGTAAATCACTTCTCTGGTTCTTTTCCTCCCAGGCACGAGCTCCTGGAAGAGGCTCGGAGGAAAGGGTTGCCCTTTGCTCACTGGGATGGCCCCACGGTCGTGTCCTGGCTGGAGGTGAGGCAGAGCCTGTCATTGTCCCCATGCTGTCCCCACTGGGCTGGGATCGCTCCCCCAGCCCCCCCAGTCCCACCAGGCTTGGTCCAGGCACTGGTGGCTGCAAATCCTGGGGGAGCAGAGGAGATCCCCCAGATCCCTCACAGGATCTGCAGAGCTGTGGTTTGAGGAGAACTTTGGGTTAGAGCCCAGGTCTGGTGAGGAGCAGCTGAGGGAGCTGGGGAAGGGTCTGGAGCAGCAGGAGCAGCTGAGGGAGCTGGGGGGGCTCAGCCTGGAGAAAAGGAGGCTCAGGGGGGACCTTCTGGCTCTGCAACCCCCTGACAGGAGGGGGGAGCCGGGGGGGGTCGGGCTCTGCTCCCAGGGAACAAGGGACAGGAGGAGAGGGAACAGCCTCAGGCTGTGCCAGGGAGGGTCAGGTTGGATACTGGGGAAAATTACATCTGGAGAGGGTGCTCAGGCCTTGGCAGGGGCTGCCCAGGGCAGTGGTGGAGTCCCCATCCCTGGAAGTGTCCAACAAACCCGTGGATGTGGCACTTGGGGCCGTGGGTTGGTGGTGAACGTGGCAGTGCTGGGGAACAGTTGGACTTGGTGACCTCAGAGGCTTTTTCCAAGCTCAGTGATCCCATGATCCCATGGAAGGCTGGGCTGTGCCCAGCACACACAGGGCTGCCCACGGGCCACCTGCACAAGGTCCAACCATAAAGAGCCCATGTGGGGCATCAGCTTTGATACTGAGCTTCAACCGGGGTGGCTCAGTGAGCAGTGGGGTGGCTCAGGGGGCAGTGGGATGGGTCAGTGGGCAATGGGGTGGCTCAGCTGGGCAATGGGGTAGATCAGTGGGCAATGGGGTGGCTCAGGGGGCAGTGGGGTGGGTCAGTGGGCAGTGGGGTGGCTCAG